TGTATTTGGGGAAGACAGGTAAAGTGAAATTTTTTGTCTGGTTTTTGTTTGTATCTTTCATCTCTCTTTGGCATCATTTAAAAGTACATAGTGTCTTATACTGAACTAAAACACAAAGTGGGCATTTTGTTTGTTTATTCACTTCTTTATTTGTGTAATAGTGCTTTCGTGCTTTCTGCTTGCATCCTCTCCTCTGTGGTCCTCTCGAACATTTATTGAGCTCCAATAGCATTATCACAAGGCACGTCAGCATTATGGGTTTTCGTTAATGGGACGGGTGAAAACGCTGCTGGAAGGGAAACGGTTGTTGCCAGATTGTCTTGCTTAGGTCACTTTATGCTTTGTTTTAAAATCACGACTGTATTCTTAACGTGGCGCTTGTTGTGGCCTACTCTGAGTCTCGGGCGTCTTTGAACTCAGTATGTGATTTTTATGGAAACAAAGACACTTCTCTGAATTCTGCCAACCCTTTTCTAGCTTTGCAGCTGAGGTAGCATTTCTGCCTCTCTTTGCTTTTATGGGAAAGGTAGATAGTATTTTGATTGGGGTAAAGTTTTAGAATCTGTCTGCATTCCCTAGATCAGTGCTTCTCCAATAGAAATATAATCCAAGCCATATATGTGATTGGAAATTTTCTAGGACCCACATTCAAAAAATAAAAAGAAACGGGTGAAATTAATTTTAACAATACGTTTTATTTAACTCAATATATTTAAAATATCATTTCAACATGTATTCAATATTTAAAAATTTTTAAGGAGATGTTTTACTTTTTTTCATGCTAAGTCTCCAAAATCAGTGTGTTTTGTACTTACAGCACTCAACTCAGATACAGAATTTCATTGGAAATGCTTGATCTGTATTTAGATTTCATAAGATTTATAGTTGAGGTGCCGGCCCGGTGGCGCAGCAGTTAAGTGTGTACGTTCTGCTTCAGCGGCCTGGGGTTCACAGGTTCAGATCCCGGGTGCGGACATGGCACCGCTTGGCAAAAGCCATGCTGTGTTAGGCGTCCCACATATAAAGTAGAGGAAGATGGGCACGATGTTAGCTCAGGGCCAGTCTTCCTCAGCAAAAAGAGAAGGATTGCCAGCAGTTAGCTCAGGGCTAATCTTCCTCAAAAAAAAAAAAATATAGTTGAAAAAGTAGATTCATTTACCCCAAAAGTTCCAAACTTACTTACATATTTCCCAAAAAGAGTCAAGTATCAGTTTATAAAGTTTTATTTAAATTAATTGTAATTAAATAGAATTAAAAATTCAGTTCCTCAGTTGCACTAGTCATCTCTCAAGTCTTCAGTAGCTTCGTGTTGCTCCTGCTGGCTGCCATGTTGGACAGTCCAGCTATCAGTTATTCTTAAAACTGTACATAAATGCTTTTGCATTTTTCAGGTTATTGTTGAATTGTAGAATTAATCCATGCCATGAAGTCCTCAGAAATTGTTCTACTAGATTAGATTTATTCATCAAGGATAGAAGTGCCTAGGGAAAAATAGCACTGCATATTTACTCCTCATCCCAGGGCTGGGGAGTGGCTTGCACATAGTAGGTGTTTAATAAGTGTTTACCTACTAAATCCTATTTAGTCCTCAAACTGCGACTTAAACTTTACTTTCTCGGGGAAGTGTTTCCTGACTCGCCACTCTGGCATATGTTCCTTCATTACATGTCTCATGGAACTGAGTTCTCTCCCTCCAGAACACATATACTTATGTACTGACTTGGGTAATTTTGTGATTAATAGCCACCTCCCTGACTAGGCTGTAAGTCCCATGAGAGGAGGAATGTGTTTTTGTTCATGACAGTATCCACTGCTTCTAGCATAATGCGTGGCACGTGACAGGTATGGGATAAATATTGGTCAGATGATAATAGCACAGAACCATTTAAAATATAAAGTGATTAGCAGAATGTCCAATTCTTAACTTTATGGAAATTGGAGCTTGTTTCATGTTGGGGAAACAGGAATATTTTGTTTTAAGGATTATGCACACTAAAAAGTATGCAGGTTTTTAGTTTTCGTTCAAGCCTTTTCAAAATGCTCTTGTAAATATGCCTTTTTTTAGCTTTCTTGCTGCTTTATTGGTGTTTATTTTCTTGAAATATCTATTACCTCACCTCTGTCTTTCCTGTAACTTATGGTGCACTGGAGACAAAAACTGAAAAAAGGGAAACTGAATTGCAAAATACTTTTAAGGAGCTGAGAAGGGTATAGGGCAAAAGCAAAGGTGCATAGATGAAGCAGACCTTGCTGTTTCAGGACAGTTTAAAATAAACCCACCCTTTTAATTATACCAGGGTAATGAGCCTTACCCACAATAGGTGAAAATATAATTAACAATGTATTGTGGGCCAGTAGAGCAGGTTGTCAGGTCATTAACTGAATCATAAGGTGGGGAGTAATGCCTATTAAAGGTTACACATTTGGAAAGGTTAGATTAAAATTTTGTCTTTGCAAATACAAAGTTTCTCAATTTGAATAAGGCTTTACAAAATCTCTTAGCACTTGACTTTTTCTCATAACATTTTCTTGAAGTTTAATAAGCATAGAGAAATGTGCACGTAAGGGGGCAGCGTGATGGATTTTCACATCCAGATCGAGAAACAGTACGTTACCATCACAACACCCCAGAGGTTTCCCTCCTCCTTTTTCCCCACTTCCTGCCCTCCAGGGTGAACCACTATCCTGACATGGATAAGTTTTTCCTGTTTTTGTACTTTGTATAAATGGAATCATGCAGTATCTGCATTTGAATTAATGTAATAGATTATCATTCTAAGTGACATTCCCGATAGTAGCTCATTAGAAACAAGGTCTGTTTTCAGTTTTCCTTATTATGTATCTAATTTGGTAAATTGGCAGTTTACCACTGTATCCAGTTCTTTATTATTCCTTTAAGAAATTTTCTTTGTAAATGCAAATATGTGTGTGTATGAATACGTAAATGCATGTATATTTGTATGTGTTTTTTAAAAGTTTGCTCAAATTTGATCATGCTATGCTATGCATATTACTCACCTTTTAGTGATACATCTTTTCTTTTTTAAGAGATTTTATTTTTTTTTATTTTTCTTTTTCTCCCCAAAGCCCCCCGGTACATAGTTGTATATTCTTCGTTGTGGATCCTTCTAGTTGTGGCATGTGGGACGCTGCCTCAGCGTGGTTTGATGAGCAGTGCCATGTCCGCGCCCAGGATTCGAACCAACGAAACACTGGGCCGCCTGCAGCAGAGTGCGCGAACCTTAACCACTGAGCCATGGGGCCAGACCCTCTTTTCTTTTTTTAAAGATTTTTTTTGTTTTGCTTTTTCTGCCCAAATCCGCCCAGTACATAGTTGTATATTTTAGTTGTGAGTCCTTCTAGTTAGGGCGTGTGGGATGCTGCTTCAACATGGCCTGATGAGTGGTGCCATGTCCGTGCCCAGGATCTGAACAGATGAAACCCTGGGCTGCCAAAGTGGAGCACGTGAACTTAACCACTTGGCCACAGGTCTGGCCCCCTTTAGTGATATATCTTAAAGCCCTTTTCTTTTTTTTTAAAGATTTTATTTTTTCCTTTTTCTCCCCAAAGCCCCCCCGGTACATAGCTGTATATTCTTCGTTGTGGGTCCTTCTGGTTGTGGTATGTGGGACACCGCCTCAGCGTGGTTTGATGAGCAGTGCCATGTCCGCGCCCAGGATTCGAACCAACGAAACACTGGGCCGCCTGCAACGGAGCGCGCGAACTTAACCACTCGGCCATGGGGCCAGCCCCTCTTAAAGCCCTTTTCATATCAGCTCATGTAGGTCCACTTCATTTTTTCAAATGGTGACATGGTACTCTGCTCTATGTATGTATGTATCATAATTTAATGAACCAGCTGTCCATTGAAGGACAGTTAGGTTGTTAGTAATCTTTTGCTTTTAGAACAATAGAGTCCAGGTAAGATTATCTGTAAAGTAAATTCTTAGAGATGGAATTGCTGAGCAATGAGGTCCATGCATTTTAAATTTGCTCAGATTCTTTTTTTAAGATTTAAAAAAATTTTTCCTTTTTCTCCCCAAAGCCCCCTGGTACCTAGTTGTATATTCTTAGTTGTGGGTCCTTCTAGTTGTGGCATGTAGGATGCTGCCTCAGCATGGCTTGATGAGCGGTGCCATGTCTGCACCCAGGATCCGAACCAGCGAAACTCTGGGCTGCTGAAGCGGTGCGTGTGAATTTAAGCACTCAGCTTCGGGGCCGGCCCCACCTCAGATATTTCTTAATGGCCCTTCAAAGAGTTTTGCCATTTTTACTCCCACCGGCAAGGGTTGAGAATTTCTATTTCCATTGTTCTTGCTTTAGATTATGTATTATCAAGCCTGTTAATTTTTGCAGTCTGATATAGACAAATCAGCAAGTCGTTGTTACTTAAGTTTGCATTTTCTTTAGTTTTGAGTGAGGTTACTTATTTATATGTTTATTGGACATTTGTATTTCTCTTGGGACTTGTTCTTGTCCTTTGCTCATTTTCCTACAGGCTTGTTCATATTTTTCTTAATAATTTCAAGGAGCTCTTACTATATATGGGAAATTAGTCCTTTTATGTCATCTGTGGTGTTAATTTTTGTTTGTTTTTTGTCTTTACTTTGTTCTTAGCCTTTCTTTTCCTAAACAGAAGGTTTAAATTTTTATGTGGTGAAATGTACCAGATTTTTCCTTATTGCTTTCTGAATTATGTGTTTTTAATGAGAAAAAGCATTGGAAACTTGAGACACGAAAACAGATAAATAGATAATTGGATAACGTAAGTCTGGCATGGAAAAAAATCTCAAGAAATGTTTGTGGGAAATGTGGTTAAGCAGGAATTCAAATTTCAGTCAAGAGTGGCATGACCAACTATAAATAAACAAAAACTTGCACATTATCTGCCAAAATTTAACATTTTTAACAGCTTTTGAGAAAATGTTCAATGCTATGCTTTTTTCTTTTTATATTTCGTTATTTGGGGTTTTAATTTCTCAAATGATCCCTCTTTACAGATTTCAAGTTATAACCTATTTCCTGCACCTTTGCTGACGTCCAGTGATCCATGTCAGAAGTACTTCCAGGTCAGATACACTTTCATATGTTTCAATGCAGAAAAACAGTTGAATATTAAAACTTTAAAAGATATATATGATAGATAATTGTTTTGATGTTAACCTTATTTGCTAAAAAAACATGATTTTGGTTTTCCTTGTGCTTCACTAATGTAATAGAAAAATGAATCTTTAAAATAAAGTAGAAGAATCAATTGGACTTAAGTGTATTCATGTAATAATTACATGACTCTACTAATATAATGTGAAAATATTTTGGGTGACTATAGTGGGAAACTAAAACTGTCAAATTTTGCCATCTAGCACTGCACAGTGTAGCCTGTGAACTGTTAAATATGAGCAAACAAGGTGGTGGTGGTGAATCTGTAAACAGCAAGTTAGCGATTGTGGGGTTTGTCTAGAATAGAGCTCCCTAATTCAGTATTCTCTCTAAGCTAATGCTGATTAATTTCAGGCCTTAAGAAAACCATCTTAATTTTATTGTATGTCCCTTTCTTTGTGTCGTGATGGATGCTAGTCTACACACAACATGGTCTGGGATTTACTTCTTAGCCTCACAGCAATATAACAAAGAAAAAGCAATTGTCATAACATCTTGTCTTTTTTTTTAAAGATTTAATTTTTTTCATTTTCCTCCCCAAAGCCCCCTGGTACATAGTTGTATATTCTTCGTTGTGAGTCCTTCTAGTTGTGGCATGTGGGATGCTGCCTCAGCGTGGTTTGATGAACAGTACCATGTCTGCGCCCAGGACTTGAACCAACGAAACACTGGGCCACCCGCAGTGGAGCACGAGAACTTAACCACTCGGCCACGGGGCCAGCCCCATAACATTTTGAATTAAATGTAGTCTAGGACTCCAAGTAGCAGATAGATCTGGGTAGATTCCAGGTTTGTTAGGACACGTACCATTCCGTGAATTCTGAGTTTTGAAATAAGAAGATTTAAACCATAGACAGTTATTAATGTCTTAAATTCTAAAATTAAACGCATTAAGTATTTCCAAGCCCTTTTCTCCTTTAGGTAGCACTGCATGTTACATTTCAACAGAGAACTAAAATAAAACATAATAAAATAAACACTAAGCTCACTAGAGGTATATGAGTGGCAGGAAATACCCGTTTTTATAAAAATCAGCCAAAAACAATAGATAAACCTAAGTTCACATCGGAAAATTAGGAACTAGAGGTGGTTCTTAGAGGCCATCTAATCATAACTGTGACAATTTGGGGACAGGGAGTAGATTTCCTTTGTAAATACATACTTGAATAGGTGTATTAATTTTGGAAAATCAAGGAAAATACGTATGTCCTTTTAAAAAATACATTTTAAATGCTGAGAATGATTCCTTTTAGGAATTCTTTAGCCTTTAGAATCTTTTAATACATTGCAAGATAGACTCAGTATGGAAACATTGTAAGGACAAGACTGGCAAATATGTAAAATGATGAGTTTTCCTCTAGTAATTGGAGGTGAACCACTCAAATAATTTCTAGAAATTTCTATTGTCACCGTATTTTATTATGCTATTGTATTCATTCTTCCTGTTGGTACTCAAATTGCTTTATTTGTTCGTACTTATTTAAGAGATAATGCAACTGTTATCCAGCATGTTTTTTTAATAACAGCTACTTCCGTCATGCATTGGTATAGGATGTAACACATTTTACAAGGAAAGCAGTGTTCTTATTTCAGTGGAGTATCTGATTCCAGCCGTTTTTTGCTTGAGAATTCAAGTGGCGGCTAGTGAGGGAGAATCTGAACCAATAAATCAGATAAGGCACACCTTCAATACCGTTTTCCAACTCTCAGGAGCTGTGACTATCCAGAGCCTTTTTAAACAAACAAACAAACATGCTAGAATGTACACCATTATCTGCCTGGAAAATTCCTGTTGAACCTTCAAGATTCAAATCAGGAGTTCCTTCTGAGTAAGTCTTAGCTGTGACATAGTCAAGTAATTATCCTGTTTCAAGGGTTCTGCCATTGTTTAATATTTTTTCCCTTTTGGAATTGACTTGAGGTCCAGCTTATCAGTTATTCTAGAAAATCTGTGTCATTACTTTATAGCCAACCTATTTTTTTCGCCTAAATCAGTATTCTGAAGCTTGATCATTGACCATATTCATCAGACTTGGCCATAAAAGTCTAGAGCTATATTTAAAAAATAGATTCATCTGCAGAGGACACTGAGGCTCTTCTAAATGGTGAAAACAGTTTAGAAATTGAACAGAGACAATATCCTTGGGATAAGGATATACTACCCCAAGGTGACATCTCGAAGGTCTTCGTTCTCGTTTGAATACACAATATCTGATTTGTGTTTCGTAAATAACCAGTCATCACATCTGCCAGGAGTGATGTTGGAATGTAGGTGTTCCCCATCTGGAGTGCCTTTCTCATCCTTGTCCACTGGTGGACCTACCCTTGAAGAGCCAGCTCAGCTGAAACCTACCCTGAACCTCTTTCCTCATCCCTGATACCTTCTTCTCATAAGACCCTCTGCCTACTTTAACCATTTTGAGTTTGTTTACTGACTTTGTCTTCTCACTGCCCAATGTGACTGAGTTTCTTTTTTCTTTTCTTTTTTAAAAAATTTTTATTGAGTTTATGATAGTTTACAACCTTGTGAAATTTCAGTTGTACATTCTTGTTTGTCAGTTGTGTTGTAGGTGCACCACTTCACCCTCTGTTCCCCCCCCCCCCCCCCCCATTTCCCCTGGTAGCTACTAATCTGTTCTCTTTGTCCGCATGTTTAACTTCTACGTATGAGTGGAGTCATACAGAGTTCATCTTTCTCTATCTGGCTTATTTCACTTAAAATAATACCCTCAAGGTCCATCGATGTTGTTGTGAATGGGACTATTTTATTCTTTTTTATGGCTGAGTAGTATTCCATTGTATATATATACACCATGTCTTCTTTATTCATTCATCAGTTGATGGGCACTTAGGTTGCTTCCATGTCTTGGCTATAGTAAATAATGCTGCAATGAACATAGGGGTGCATGGGACTTTTGGAATTGCTGATTTCAAGTTCTTTGGGAAGATACCCAGTAGTGGGATGGCTGGGTCATATGGTATTTCTATTTTTAATTTTTTGAGAAATCTCCATACTGTTTTCCATAGTGGCTACACCAGTTTGCACTCCCACCAGCAGTGTATGAGGGTTCCTTTTTCTCCACAACCTCTCCAACATTTGTCACTTTTTGTTTTAGTTATTTTTGCCATTCTCATGGGTATAAGGTGATATCTTAGCATAGTTTTGATTTCATTTCCCTGATGATCAGTGATGATGAACATCTTTTCATGTGCCTATTGGCCATCCATATATCTTCTTTGGAGAAATGTCTGTTCATGTATGAGTTTCTTAAAGAAAAGTCTTTGGTACATTTCTCTTCTCTCCTCAGCTCCATTTGGGATGTTGAACAGAATGAGCCCCCAGGCAATTAAGTTGAGTCGGGCATGGGAAACCCTTAGGTGGGTAAGACTTAGCTGTTGAAATCACCCCTTTATCTTAGAACCTGGGTAAGTTGCCCTGTGAATCAGCTGTGTGAAGTTGCTCTCCTGGCTTCAGAAACTTCCAAGGTTCTAATCCTGTGATCTCTCTGACCCAGTGACCCATGCTGCCTCCTAATAATTTTTGCGTCTTTTGTTCTTACAGAAGTTCTTATCAGGGGCCAGCCCCATGGCCGAGTGGTTAAGTTCACCCGCTGTGCTTTGGCGGCCCAGGCTTTTGCCGGTTCAGATCCTGGCCGTGAACATGGCACCGCTCATCAGGCCATGCTGAGGCGGCGTCGCACACAGCACACCTAGAGGCACTCACAACTAGAATAGACAACTTTGTACTGGGGGGCTTCAGGGAGGAGAAAAAAAGAAGATTGGCAACAGTTGTTAGCTCAGGTGCCAATCTTAAAAAAAAAAAATCCTGGCTAGTTCCTTCGTCTTCAGAAGGACTGACTGGATTAAAAAAAAAAAAAAGTTCTTATCATTTTTGTCACATGGAGAGTTTACTTTCATGAGTAATTTCAGGAAACCAGCTTTATTTTTCCTCTCCTTCCTAAAAGAAAAAAAAATCCGAGTTTATTTTATTTCCTTAATACTTTGAGATTTGGTTCAAAAGGCACCATTCCTCATGGTAGAAGTTTTGCTGTTAACTCCTCAGTGGAAATAAAATTGTGTAGCAGAAAAAGAAAAATGAAGAACATGGGTATTCTATTCAAGAGTGGGACAAACGTTGGATTCCCTTGGGCCCATTCGTCAACCCTGGGCCCATTTGTCAATTTCCAAGTTTATAAGTGTGTCATGGGAGCAGAGGGAGTGCAGCAGATTATTGACGAGAGGAGTTTCCTGTCATTACTGACCAACTTTGCCTTTGACAGAAGGCTAGAGGTCTCAGAAAACGAAGGGGTGGGCAGGTTTAACTACTAGCTCCAGCACAGGTTTGTATTAAGATATCATGTGAGTTATGGGGTTACATCTCAGTGCTGGGATCTTTGAGACCCTGGGTTTGAGGAAAGCTGTGTCACTCATGAAATTAAAGGGACCCTGGCTTACCTAATGTTGTTTAGGCTTCATAAAAAATACTCTGTGTGTTAACTAAGGCTCTTTTAGTTGCTAAAAGGAGAAAATCCAATTTAGAGAGGTTTAAGCAAAAGAACAAAGAAAAATCTATTGGCTTCAGTACCCTAGAAGTTCAGGGGTACCATGTTTGAGGCCTGGCTTGTTTCAGGATTCCAGCAATGTCATTAGAGCTTGCCCCTTTTATTTTGTCTTGGAGCTTCGCCTGCTCATTTGTTAGGTTCATGCTTTCGCAGGTTGTTTCTTCATGGTGACCCCTTGAAGCTCTAGGCTTATATCTTCTAGTTCAAGAAAAAGAGACAAAAGAGCACTTCTCTTCTCGTTATTCTGGCAAAAGTCTTAGGATTGGTTCCGTGTGACTCCTTGAACCAGTCACTATAGCCTTGGGGATTTGTCCTCCAAGTGGCTGGGCCTGGGCCATGTGCCCCAT